TGTAAGGGAGACAGAATATATAAAAAGAATGACTATTACGGGATTAAAAGAAAGAAAAGAAATATGAAGGGAAAGCAAAGGAATGAAATAAGTAAGAAGGGGAAAGAAATAAAAGAAAATAAGTAAAAAGGGGAAATAATAGAGAGAAAAGAAGTAGGAAGGGAAAATAAATGAAAGAAAAGAAGTAGAAAGGGGAAATAAAGGAAAGAAGAAGTAGATAGGGGAAAGAAAAGAAAGAAATTGAAAGCCCCCATATTACGGAAGGACCTTGCAAGTTGCTACTAAGCTTTCTCTATGACTTTCAATCAAGATTTCAAGAAACCCTTTCTAGGGTTTTTTTTTTTTCTCCACAAAATTATCCAAGGTAAACATTCTAAGCGTATGTACATCCCTCTCTTTCCTTTTATACCTATATTGCTTAAAATGACATAAAAGACCCCTAATTAAAATAAAATAACCAAACTGCCATTAAAATCTCTACAACACCTAAAATATATAAAAACCATAATATAATTAGAAATTTAAATAACTTTAGTTTTCACTCTAAAACAAAAACAAAAAAAATAACAAAAAACCATTACAATAGAAAGCCATCATGCCCTCATCAAAGAGACAGAGAGCCCCAACAGTCATCAAAGAGACAAAGAGACAAAATTTGGATAGCTACATTATGTTATTTTTAATATATGATATTTTATGGGGCCCATTGTGCACATGGGCCACCATATTTTAGAAGGTGGTCCGCCACTTTAGAGGGAGGCCTATCCCCATGGGTGAGACGCCACTTTTTGAGGGGAGGCTTATCCCATGGTTGGCACTCCCTTATTTTTTATTTGATTTGTTGATATCTTTTATCCCAAAAACAAAATTAGTTTGAAATGAAAACTTCACAAGAGTAGAGAGAAAATACAATTTTAACAGTTTTCATCTTGAAATTCTACAATATGATTTATTTTGTAAATAGGGAAGCTAATGACATTGTGGACGGTTTGGTAAAGAAGGGTGTTATTCGCGATTCCTTGATTGTATCTAATTTTCTTTTTTGATTGTTTAGATGTAATGTTCCGATTAGTCAATAAAAGTTAGCACTCTTGTCACATAAAGACAAAACAAAAGAAAACACTTAATACAAAGACAAAAGTTTTTTCTCAAGTTAGCTGAAGAGGTCACGTGTTTAA